GGATAACAGAGACCTGAATGTCAGACTCTGATCTGACTTCATCCTTAGCCTACCATCTGGGTGTCACATAGGCAGTGCCCAGTATCAGTAGGAAAGTATGGGGTCATGACTTTTTGGTTCGTAAACTATCGATCTAGAGGCTTGGAATAGCATGATGGTTAGGGTGCTCGACTCACGATCTGTGGGTTGCGAGTTCGAATCTCCAGCACCAAACATGCTCGCCCTTTCAATCATGAGGACGTTGTAATGTGATGGTTAATCTCACTATTCGTTGGTAAAAGAGAAGTCCATGAGTTGGTGGTGGATAGTGTTGACTAGCTGCCCTCCTTCTAGTCTATCACTTCCAAAGTAGGGATATCTATTGCAGATAGCCCTATTGTAGCTTTGCGCAAAATTCAAAACAAACCAAACTAAACTATTGATCTATCTCAGGTTAAGCGCACTATTCTCACCTTTGGCTGTTAGCCCTTGACAATGCTTTCATTATCTTCCTTTAGGGAATTTATGGTGGATATTACAAGGTTTCACCACACAGGTGGTACCTCCTGTTTAATTACACTCCCCAGTTCAATCAAAGTGCACTTCAAAAGGGTTGCTATCATCAAGAAGTTAGCCACAAATCATCAGGCATGCAACACAAACCCAATAAAACTGTAGCCTTCTTGTTTCATCATAACTCATGGCTATTTTCTCACCACAGCTATCTTACTTGGATCCATTGAGGCTCTATTTCTTCTGACAACGTGACTGGAAAACTATACTTTTGTTTTCATGAGTTAACACACTCCAGGCTTTATTTTCAAGCCTGACTTTCTGTGTGCTGGAATACCAGTCTCAGATTCTTAGACACTAACTTGGAAGTGTGGCCAAACACCAAATTATCAACAATGTAGACCAGGAATCTTTTCTATTGCAGTCCAGTGACTTCAAGCTCTAGTGTTACACAGACTGAATTACATGATGTCAAACTCATATAGACCATCTCTCGGGCTTAAAGCTGTCTTTGTCCTGCTTGATCATCTAGTTCATCTTACCAGTGTATGGATGACAAATCCAAGGTATTAAACCAAAATGATCCTTCTAATGCATTCAGACATTCACCTCTCTATTGAAGCTGGAAGACATTAATGTGAGTTAATGCCTTTATCCATCAGAAGTCTACATTGAATCTTGACATACCTTTCATATTCCTGAAAATTACTACTAGAGATGACCAAGCATTTTCTGAAGGTTGTACAGTTCCCTTCTGCAGCATCCACTGAATTTTAGTGCTTGTGACCTCCTTAGTGCTCCAAGGAAGTTGGCACAGTGGTTGTTTTATCAGGCATGCACTGTCTGTGTCTATATGGTGTTGAGTCATTTTTTTACCCAGTTGGCCACCTTGTCCAAATACATTGGCATATTCACCCGACAAGTCACGGAATTACTTTTCCTGCATCAGGTCTAGATTGTTAGCACAATTATCAATGAATGCCCTCAGGTGTGTTGGTAACCCAATACTTGCCTTCTGTACAGGTGCAACAGATCAACACCAACAAGATCACTAGCTTTTCTTACTGTGCCTATTACTGTCTCAGTGTCCAAATAGGTAGCTGATCATCCATAGTTAGAAACAAGATCAGGACTTCATCCCTTGGTGGGCATATCACTATCCAAGCTAGAGCTACCTGCTTTTTGGACGAAAAATAATTATTTAATGCATGGCTTTTATAGCCACACTAGCTGGAGTATCCATCCATTGGATGGGTGAAATAAAAACTCGTTTGTAAAAAAGGATAGGAAATTGTGCGTCTATTTTTTTAACATTATAAACATTAAAAGTGCAATAAAAATACATAAAAGTATTAATACTGAAACGAAAGACCCACTGTTTTCAATAATTCTATAAATATGAAATTAGATTGGAGAGTTCCACCCCCCATCACATATCATCCTCTATCACTGTGTCAAGTTGTACGGAGTTGGTAGTTTTTCCAAAATTAAATATGAAATTAGATGGGGGTGCAAATCCCCCTCTTGACATTCCTCATTTCATCCTGTATCACTGTGTCAAGTTTGGTGATAACTGATTAAGAAATGTGGAAACGTATAAAGAACAGATATCCACACACACACAGAAACATACACACACATATTGACGTTTATTTATATAGATTACACAGCACTGACACATTAGAACTTTTTAGATTAAACATTTGTGCACATGAAGGTACTGTTGTTTCCTCTGCAACATACACTCATGTGGTTCACTATTCCTGGGTTCAGTCTGGGTGGCAATGGATGACTCTTTTGCTGAGCATCAACTGACCCATTTCACAGGCAAAGCTGATCAATAAACTACATATTATGTTCATCTGAAGGATATCTATGACAGTCCCAAGATCAGAATTGATCACTTTTATCCTGGGGATAACACATCCTGGCCTAAGCTGGTGCTTTATATTTCCTCTAACATCTAGTATATCATTGTTTGCCAAAAAAAGCTATATTCACTGCCCATAGTGGTGGCTTAACTTGGAGGGTTTAAAAGATTGAAAGGTCTACCAGGTTTCTTGCTACTCCATTTTCTACCAAGAACTCAACCTTTTGTTCTTGCACCCTTATTAGCACATACCAAAGCCCACCAAGTCCTGATAAAGCTTGTTGGGCTACTAAACTCCTTGGTGTGAGCTTATTGTCACTGTGCTCTCTCAAATCTGTAGCCAAGCCTGGTTTGGGCTCTGTTGGCTTCCAGAACATTTGCTACAGTATCTACTGCTCATTTGCTGGTCATCCTGAATCTATTGATCTAAAGGTTGGCATCAATACCCTTGTCTACTTTGATGCTTGGCAAAGTACTAGCATTGTGTGTGTGTTGCTGGGCATACATTGAGCTATTGGTTGGAATAGTCATTCTGCCATACTTGCACTGCATTAAAGTACAGGCAGTTCCTCTGCCAGTGATCCAAAAGTCCACAACCAAAGCCAATGCTTTGCTCATCCATTCTTGGATGATATCCAGATGGTTTCATTGGCAAATGTCTCTTAGGTGTACCTTGTGGCAACATGTACCCCAAGAGGGCCTAGATGGTCCTGCCCACTCACTGGAGGCCAGTGTTACTCACACTCTCATCTTGAACTGGTTGACATTCCATGATTGGCTTAGCTCTTTGCAGTGGAGGTACCTACATTGCACTCTTTGTTGATGGATTTATCACTGCAGACTTTCTCCTTTCTGGTGGCCAAAAGGAAGTTTCTACTTCAAGGTATATTGAGACAGACATGGCGTCTGTGAGAGTGTGGATGTTCATCACTGCCAGGCACTGTCTCATAAGTTCATTAGAGATCCCTGCAATTAACTTATCTATCAGGATTTCTCTCAGTTTGCAGAGGCCATTGCTGGATATGCTTTCCCATGCAACTGGTTCAGATCGCCCACCTAAGCAGCCAGTACTCTTCTGAGCTTTGAAATCAGCCCAACATATCTCCCAATTCTTCACTGGTTTGAATCAACAGCACAACTCATACACAACAATTCTCCAGTAATTCAGTTGATTTTCATTCATGTGTTTAACAGTACCAGGCATTGTATGGCCTGTTACACAGTCCATCCATTCCAGAACCTCTGCAGCATTGGTGAAAGTCCTATGTCCTAGGGAACTCTTCCTAGACTTGACATCTCTCTCTCTCTCCACGAACAAACTCTCCTTTTAGAGCCATGAGTACTTCCACATCCAGAAAAATCCATTCTGTTTGTGAACATCTTTCTTTAAACTCAATATACACGAGGGAGTACAAAATAAATCCTGGTGTCATGACATCTAATTTTCTTCTTTCTACCTCACTTATGGTATTCTTTGGTAAGCCAAATTTCCCAACAAGTGTTAAATAAACAGACCTGCAAATGACAACAGATTTTACAAGGAATTAATGGTTTTTTGTGTGTTTAATAAAAAGTTAACAAAATCTTTATTGTATAAATAACACAGAAAATACAATATTCACACTTATCCAGACATTGGGATAGTCCCTTCTACTATAGAACGTTTAGATCTACAGTCTTCCTTCCCTCTAGATTGATTTTTGAGGAACCAAAAACATCAATATCCTAAAAGCAGATCCCCCTCGTCGATTCTTTAGTGGAAAACTAAACTAAGAAAACACTCTTGAAGGTAACATGTAAATTCTTTCTTTGTCCAGTGAGAGACTTAAACTTGTGACCTTTTCTCCCTGACAGCCAACGCCTAAGAATTAGAATGAAGCTAGCGTACTAATGAATTAACAGTTGTTATTATATTTAATAAAGACGACAAAACAACAATGGGAAAGTTCTATATTTTACAACATTGCATTTTTACAGTCATTTTCAGGAGCTTGGCGCTACAGTTATTGTCAAGAACCTAAAATTATGAAAGATCAAGATGGAAAAGCTATTCATAATTTTGAGATCAGGCCTTCAAAGAAGCAAAATCAGTTCTATCTTACAAACATTTTAAACCCTAAATGCTGAAAAAGTTAAACTATGTACAATAAAATATTTATAAATACAAACACTGATTAAATATTGTTTTAACCTGACCTTAGCATTACTTAGAGAAAAAGAGTTTCAAGAGTTTGAGGGAAAAAAAAGGCGATCAGTACATGAAAAACAGAGTATTCCATATGTTAATTATAACAATCTGAAAAGGTAGTTTCAACGCACACTTGGTTAATTAGTTTACATCATACAGTCTCTAGTTTCATTTTTGATAGAATAATTTCACCCAACAATACAGAAAAAAATAATAAACAGAGTATTCCATACGTTAATTATAACAATCTGAAAAGGTAGTTTCAACGCACACTTGGTTAATTAGTTTACATCATACAGTCTCTAGTTTCATTTTTGATAGAATAATTTCACCCAACAATACAAAAAAAAATAATTTTATATTTACTAATCAAATTTCATTCCACAGATAATTGACGTTAACATTAAACACTAACATTATTAAAGTAATTTCGTTATGTTTTATGTCGAGTTTTCAGTGATTCTGAGAATGTTAAAGTCTTTTTGGTAGTGGTCGCCCTCTAACCGAGGCTACCTGGTAGTTCAAATGAAAATATTTTAATTTTTCAAAATGGTAAGATAATTTTAACATATTATTTTGATTTAAATTTGTTGTACTAAAACTTTAGAAACAAATTTGAAATAGAGTTAATCAATGGGATTTAGTAGAACATCGATGAAACTGGATTTTAGTTCGGTAGTTCGAAAATGCTCTAAGAACACGTTGAAATATTGCTAATTGCCTAGGCCTATTCTCGAGCAAACAGGTTTGCCGATTGCAGAGCAGTGTGTTAGTTACCTTTTTAATCCCGTTTGTTTAAAATCTTAATAACATAATTAATACTTTTTAGGAATGTATAAAGATATATATAATTTCATTGTAGGAATGCATTTTATTTTTATAATCTAGGCCAATGACACTATAATATAAATTCAACTTGAGACGTTAAGTGTAAGAACTTAGTTTTATTTTTAACTTGTCTAAATATAAATCATAATTTCTTTACGAAAAATCAATTAATATAAAATATATTTTTATCGTGGAATTATTTTTATTTAATGTGAAATAAACTAAAGCTTTATACTCTAGTCTTAAGTCGACATGAACACGTAAAAATATTATAACTTACATGTTACAGTTACAAGGTATGTCAGATTGGCATATTTGCATAAGTCTGTGGCAATGTGAGCCCCATATTTCAAAAATACTTTTCAAAATATATGAGTAAAAGATCTTTATAATTATAATAACTTTTAGTTTTACTAATACTAATAGTATAAGTATGCAAATTGTAGGTGTAGCTTCTGTATTTTGCATAAATAGTCGGTACTAAAAAACAGTAATATTCGGTATAATGGGTTGATTCTTCATAACAGGATCTTGTTCTGCATACCATGTATTTTACATAAAGCATGGAAAAGTGCATGTGCATTGAAAATACAATGGGAAGCAACAGTGTTCGTGTATTTCCATGCAGTCTGCAGAATTGGGTGTTAATGTTATGCAGGTTCGACCTCTTCTGCAACCAGTTATGTAGAATTGATCTGTTATGCAAATTTAGTTATATGTTAACTTGTGGAGAATTTAATTGACTAGTCTTGCAGCATCAAGATATTTTTTAGTATAGACCAGTTATGCAAAACTTGAAGGAGTTAGGAAATTTATAGAAAATACTACACTCTGGTATAAATCACTAATGTTTAGGTGTCACATTGTAAAAAAATTTAAATTAGATATTCCAGTATTAATGGTTGGACTAAGGCATTATCACAGGTTGTTTAATAACCATTCTACTGTAATAAGTCCATATTTCATATTTGGTATATCCAAGGGATGCCAACCAGTGCACTAGCTCTTTTATTGGTTTTGGGGCAATTTGACTAGTCTCTTGAATGTATGGTTGCCAAAACTTGGACATGTGCAGTTACCAATTATGATGAAGAGCTAATTTACCCTGAAAGTTACTCTGCTAGGGACATTTGTTAAGAGTGGGAGGGTTATTTAACCCTGTGCCAGGATTTTACTCACCTTAAGCCTGGCAGCCCTGGGCCAGTAGGGTTTCTGGTGGCTGACATTTGATTTGCTCTTTGAGAGTGTGAAGGAATAGCACAAAAAGTAAATACTTGAATGTAAAGCCCTAGACCTGGCAACAAAAAGAAAAGAAACTTTGTGAGAATGGCTACACTTAAGTATGAGCATGTGTAAAGGATGGGTGAGGACTGTTTGATGTAATGGGTAAAGTCAGGCAGAGAAGAGGGATGCTGAGGAAGAGGTGAAAGGATTATATTGAAGAGGACAATAGTCAAGTAGACCTTGGTGTGGTGAACGACAGTTTTAAATGGAAAAGGATCATGAGATGCCCTGACCTCATATATGATTTGGTATATCCAACTCTGATAATGACAATCAGTTAGAAGCAGGTGTGTGTAATGATGTTATACCTTCAGATATTGATATCCTTGTAAATTCAGTGAGAAAATTGTGAGGATAGATGGTTTGGAATAGTCAGATGCCAAGTTCATGGTTTAGTACAACTATCTATCCAACAACAAACACATGAAATGGGAATATCGAACAATCTTTTGTAAACTGTTACTTGATTTGACAAAATGTGGTAATTAGCAATAAAGTACAAGTCCGATAAAACTGCTCAAGTTTCAGCTGTTAATCCATCATCATTCCTTTTCGAAGCAAATTGCTGTACAGTAGTGATCTTTTGAATAAGAGAATGGTAAAAATAATGAAGGGATGATAGGAAAATGTTATTGGTGAGATAAAGGACTGGGCAACAAATTCAGATGGAGCTGGCTGGAGAGGAATGACAATGTGAAGGTGAATTTGTCACTTGCATGCTTGGAAAGGATTACATTAGTTACTCATCTTGTGTAGCAAAGGACCTGAAAAATTACATGCATGTTGATAAACATATCCACACAATGCACAAAAATGACAGATTACTTAATTGAAATATTTTGAGGAAGAAGGATTAGGTTGGCAAAGATAGATCCTTGGATTTGCAGAACAGCAAAAATATCGGAATCTGCTGGGTCTACTAGTGCTACTTGTGACATTCTGCTTATGTTTATCTTACAGAACATATAGAAAGTCAGAAATGGATAAATATATCTTCATTTTTGTGCAGACCTTTAGTTTAAAACAATTTAAGACAAATATCATAATCGCAGGTGGGATTTGGGACCAAAATGTTGGGAGGAGGGAGAAAAAAAGTGCCTTAATTATTGTGAATGTTGTATTGTAAACTATATCTCTCAGAAAAATGTGGTTGCAGTTCCACATAATGATTGTAATACTACAGCAAGTTAACTTTTGAGAGAGAAAATTAGCTTAACTGATATCTTTTGTGATCTAGGCACATTGAAATAATTACAGGTTAAAATAATTAAGTTTTAATTCATAAGTATTGTGTTATATTCAGCCTAATAGCTGCAATTTCTCAGTTCAAAATTGCCATGAAAATGATTGAGAAGCATAGACGATTGTTCAGAATCCACCTCTATCTAAAGAATACCTGGCTCACTTACTGATTCTGAAAATTTTTAATGTTTTTCTTATGGATGAAAAAGAAATACACTTTACCACTTGAGTCATAATAAAATGGTAGATGGGCCTATCTTTGGTTAGAGCTGGGCAAATTAATCTATATAATTCATTACCTGTGATCAACAATTATATGGTTTAGTGTCTCGTAAACTAATTGGTTAATCAAAATTACAATTTATCTTGATTGTCAAGATTATTTAATGTTTTCGATTATTCTATCTTAGTAATTCAAATATTGCCATTATGTTTTGGTGTAATTCTAGGAATGGGGCCAGAATAGGGGTTTGTAGTTAGAGAAATAATATCTACAGTATTTCCAGCCATGTTTGCTTACTTTTTTTTACAATCCCTATTTGCAGGTTTTTAAATTCCCAATTTTTTATTTAACTTGTATTCAATATTTTTGTAGGTACAACCTAAAATCCCGTTTGCTCTGCCACTAGCAACAGCACATTGCTTGGAAGGCTTAAATAAATGATCAACCAGAACACTAAGATCCTTTTCTTCCATAAAACTTAAATGTTATTTCCATCAAAATTACAGGCCCATATGCAGAATGTTTGAGGGGGGGGTTCTAATTTACAAGATCAAAAGCCAACACGTATTGTGCAAAGCATGCTAATGCTTCATCAGAAGAATATTGACTGCATAGAAAGTGTTAAATACCATAAGAAATTCTGCTATTACCATATAAGGATCTTTTTGACTTCACAGAAATAAGGGGTTTGGCCAAACAACCTCCCCCATGTATACGCATGTGAATTATAATTAAAAGCCATCTGCCATTTATTTGCCAAATAATCCAAATCCTTTAGTAAAGCACTAGCATCTCCCTCACAGCCAGCAAATTTAAGTAATCTATTGACCACTCCTTCATCTATACTGTTTATGTAAACCAAAACGAGCAAAGGTCTTAAGACTGACCCCTTGAGACAACCCACTAGTGACATTAATCCAGTTTGACTGAACTTCATTTATAATAACCTTCTGGTTTCTTCCAAATAGCCAATTTTTTAACCATTGTGCCAACCTATTCCCCCATACCTACAGCTAATTTTTTTAACAAGCCTTTTATGTGGCGCCTCGCTAAGTGTTTTTTGAAATCCATACCGTTATCTTGTAAGCAGTAACCTCTTCAAACAATGTCAAAGGATTAGTAAGACTAGATTTTCTCCTTGTAAAACTGTGCTGACTGTTCAACAGAATCTAAACTTTGTTGAATGACTTTTTAAAGCATCTTTTATCAGACTTTCAAAAACCTTTCCAACCACTGATGTACAACTAATAGGCCTATAATTACTGAGACAATTTTTATCCCCTCCCTCACTTGAAACTAGGAGTAACATTGGCCATCTTTCAATCCACTGACACCTGCTTACTATTCAAGGACTTGGAAAAAAATAATAGCAAGTGTCTCACATATCCAATCCATAACCTCTTTCAAATCCCTTGGACAAATATCTGACTCAGGTGCTCTGCCATTCTTTGAACTTCCCAATTTGTTCTTAACAAGCTCAGAATTAATGTGACCATCTTGTTCAACTTGTTTCCATCTAGCAGCTGATCAGGATGTGGAATATTGCTTAAATCTTCAATAGTAAAAACTGAAGAAGTTGGTAGAATTTAATCATCTCTCAAAAACCCTACTCCCATCCTAACATTTTGCATACCCTTTATGTATTTAAAGAAATCATTACTGTTAATTGTTACAATTTCAGCTAATCTAATAATGGTTGGAGATGGCTTGAATGGGTAATGAATAAAAACTTTAATACAAGTTTAACATAACAGCAAATGTACATGGTCATCATCAGGTACTCAGCTAATCTATTTTCATATACTTTTTTTTGATAATCCTAATCTTCCATCATTTCAATCAGTTTAAACTTCTTATATTTATAATAATTTTCTTCAATTTCCTTGATACCTTTTGTTTTTTATTTGCAGCTACCATTTTTTGTCTATAAGGAACACACCTATCTTGAATGTTTAATGATTTATTTTAAACAATTTTCCACGTTTGATCAGTACCTCCAACTAATTCAGTTGCCCAATTCACAGTAGATAATTCTTTTTTCATTCCTCAAAATTTGCTTCTTTGAGATTTGGAATGAAAATCTCCTTTTTTTTCTTTTTTTTATCTCCATATGCAGTAGAGGACTTGACTCATTCAGTGTGTCATTGGCTCAAATCCCTATCACCAAACATGCTTGCCCTTTTAGCTGTGGGGCATTATAATATGATGTTCAGTCCCTCTATTCCTTGATAAAAGAGTAGCCCAAGAGTTCATGGTGGGTGGTGTGTTGACTAGTGTTTCCTTTAGTCTATCATTGCAAAATTATGGATGGCTAGTGTAGGAAGCCCTCGTGTAGATTTGTGCAAATTTCTAAACAAACCATATGCAGTAAAATATCAAATCTGATTGAGCAATGATCACTTGCACCCAGATGTTCCCAAATCTACACCGTCAACCATTTCTTTATTTATTAACAAATCTTAAATAGCACTGTTTCTGATAGGTTCCCTAGCCAATGTGTCCTAGATCCTCCACTGAACAAGATAGGGGTTAAGGGCTCCTAAACTTAATCTGGCTTGTGGAAAAGTTATGACTTCCATGAGGCCTGGCACCACTTCTATGAATGTAATAAAAGTAGATCTTCAGATTAAGATTGGAAGAGTACAAAAGTTATTATTGTGCAGACATCCTGTTGTATAATTCCTTTAACTCATTTTAGTTCTTTAGTTACTAATTGTACAGCTACACTGTTGTATTGGAGACTTATTATTGTGCAGACATCCTGTTGTATAATTCCTATAACTCATTTTAGTTCTTTAGTTATTAATCGTACAGCTACACTGTTGTATTGGAGACTTATTATTGTGCAGACATCCTGTTGTATAATTCCTATAACTCATTTTAGTTCTTTAGTTACTAATCGTACAGCTACACTGTTGTATTGGAGACTTATTATTGCGCAGACATCCTGTTGTATAATTCCTATAACTCATTTTTAGTTCTTTAGTTACTAATTGTACAGCTACACTGTTGTATTGGAGACTTATTATTGTGCAGACATCCTTTTGTATAATTCCTATAACTCATTTTAGTTCTTTAGTTATTAATCGTACAGCTACACTGTTGTATTGGAGACTTATTATTGTGCAGACATCCTGTTGTATAATTCCTATAACTCATTTTAGTTCTTTAGTTATTAATCGTACAGCTACACTGTTGTATTGTAGACTTGAGAGTTTGTTCTGCAAATGTTGTAATGGCTAGGTACCCAACCATATATCAAAATGGAATCATTCCAGATATGTTTGTCTATCCTTTTGATACAATATAAATTATGAGAACTCAAAGGGCCTTTTACCTCATAAGGACATTCTAACTCGCAGTATAAGCAAACGAAAAAATTCATCATCGTGTGTAGCTCTGAACCCTAAATTTTCATCAGTCCTTTTTTGTAAACTCTAAAGTTGTAGCCTCTATCAAGACTACCATGCTTGCTTGCAGTTTGTTCCTCAATTTGAAGAAATAACCTGCTTTAACTGAAGATGAGTTTGATCTTTCCAAATCCGAAGCTTATGTCTCTTGTCTTATTGTTTTCAGAATTCAACATCAAAAGATCTGATGCATAGATTTTATCAATATTATTGATAATTTTGAATGCTTCAATTATTTCATCCTTGGCCTTCTTCTTACTTTCTTTTTTTTTAAAGAGAAATTAATAAATCTCATCTTGTTCTCACCTGACAAGTTGACAACTCATCTATCCCCATTTTCATTCTAGTAATCCTCCAACAAGTCTGTGTCCTTCCTGAGATAAAGGGACCAAAACTGCACACAGTTCTGCATATAAGGCCTAACTAGTAACTCATACAATGAAACCATGACCTCTTTAGATTTATAATCATTATTTCTGTATATACAACCCAATCTTTTAGATTTAGTCAAGATCCTTTTTCTTATCTAAGTAGCTAATAAGATTCTAGGACTGTAATGAAGGGTAGATTTTTGACCTTTGAAGATTTTGAACACATTATCAAATGAAAGTTTCAACTTTTGATACTATTAATTTGCATAATGTACTGACTGCATCACCATAACTACTAGTTTATATCTGATTAAAAATCCTTTTATTTTACAGTTAATCTTACTATAATGGATGTAGCATGTATGTCAGTATCTATGTATGTAACCAAAACTCCTGCACCATCTATTGAATGGCAACACAAACAAAATTCACACTTTGGGTATTCAAGATTCAGACAATTAGAAAGTAACTGTGGTATGTGTAACAACCATTTATTTATGATAAACACGATTAAATAAAACTACTCTCCTCACAAGAACACGACTTTCAGTATAGTCTATATCAGTACATCAAATCATTTTGATGCAGTGAGTTGCATATGACTAAAGAGTACAATCTGAACACTTTTCCTTTGTATTACTTCTCAGAAGAAATAAAAAAATATTTTCACTTTTTTCTAAATTCTTTCAATGATGTATGAATACTACGATTAGTAATTACTAGCACAAACAGCCACCCGAAGTGCGGCATTAAATTTTAAATAATAAAAAAAATGCATATTATTCACATACAAATTTAATGCTACATGCAATACTCGTATAGCTACATGTAGTAAGCTTGTGTTGCAAGTGCACCTGTTGTTGTCATTTAAAAGAAATGCAGATGACTTGAGCAAAGTGTATGTCATAAAGGAATAGATTTTATAAAAATGTTCTTCTGTAAACGTGGAAATTATATTTGTAGTTTTTAACTGTAAACTTAGTGACCAATAGGACATGATCATGATAACTATTATAATCATGTTTTCAGTATTTTTAAAGATTGTAACTTAAAAAATACATAGCAATTGTGGATGTCATAGCAACAATATTAAGCAAAATATAAAGAGTAATAATGGCTGGAGACGGCTTGAATGGGTAAAGTTTTTCTTCATTACCCATTCAAGCCGTCTCCAGCCATTATTAGTCTCAAAGTGGGTTCCTCGTCATCGAATATGAAAATATAAAGAGATTTGTAGGAAATTTTATCTTTGATTAGGTTTTATTATGTCTGAAAATAGCATAAAACAATCATTCATTATTAATAATCTTTCTTTATCATTACAATTTAGGGGTTTGTTAAAGTTGTCAAGAGTAAAGCATATTTCAAGCGATTTCAAGTCAAGTTTAAAAGGAGGAGAGGTAAGTTCAGTGTAAACTTTTGATAACATTAAGAAAAGTGATTTTTTTTTTTTTACCCACAAATAAAAATTGAATGATTTTGCCATTGACTTCTTGGTAAGTAACATATGGCAAATAAATAACTACTTCATCTTTTAAAAAAAAACATTTTATTGATATATTACAATCTATTTAAAGTGTTAGTTCTTCATTTTATTTTATTTATACTTGTATTACAAAACTTAGTACACATTTGAATATGTGTTTTATGAGATCCCAAAATCGTTTAAAAAAATTACTTACCTTAGGAATTTTTTTTAGAATTTTTAACAAAAAGTAGGTTTTTATTTGTTTTATGTGACCAGAGGGAAGAACAGATTATCAAGCTCGAAAACGATTAGTTGTTCAAGACAAGAATAAGTACAACACCCCCAAGTATCGTATGATTGTACGCATTACTAATAGAAATGTTATCTGCCAGGTAAAGTCTTCTGTATTTTTGTATTATCTGATTATTAATATTATTTTTTTTTACTATAAAATAACAGTTTATAAACAAGTTTTGTAATATAAAAAAAAATTTACAAAATTCTGTTTGGGGGTATGTTATATCCATTATTATTTTAGGAAATTGAACTGGTGTATTTAAGTGTTTT